ATCTATATCTATATCTATATCTATATCTATATCTATATCTATATCTATATCTATATCTATATCTATATCTATATCTATATCTATCTATATCTACATCTATCTGTATATATCTGTATAGATATATATATATATATTCTTTTTTAAATGTATATATACATAACATGTATTATATACGTATAATATACATATATATATTATATGTGTATATATATATGTACATGTAGTGGCAGTTATAATATCAGCCCGAAGACCCTACGCCCCTACACACAAAGATGCGTTTGGCTGTATGCTGCATTTGTAAGCAGCAAATGAATTAAAAGTCAGTTTAAAGTGAGTAAAGTGCGCATGCATAGATAAAATGCATGCAAAAAGATGTAAAATGCACTAAATGTTATTTATATTTTGCAAACATGGGGCCTATATAAGCACTTATATCCTAATTAATATCTATATACTGCATGCATATGTGCATGCATGCGCATGCAGTTCACATAATGCCAAACACTTGGCGTTTTTCTCAGCAAAATGTGCTGTCGGCAGCGCCACAGTTTGTGGCGAAGTTCAAATGGCTCACTTCGCCTTCTCAGCTGCTGTTGCTTTTGCAAAATTAACTAATTGAAACTAAATCAATTAATTTTAGCCATTAAATAATTGAAACTAAATATATTTATGGCCCAGAGGGCCGCAGTGCAGCTGGCTGCTGCGAACTTCCCGCTGAACTCTGTGCAATATTCAACAAGAGCCAGCCCCACCCACGCAGAGCAAGAAAGCCTTAATAGGCTTAGCTGGCAGCTCTATGTGCAAATAAATGCATTATTATATTTGCTGTTCTCTTAGCCACAATTTGTGCCAAGTTGCACAGAGATGTGTTGCTGCTGTGCAGGCGGGGTGCAGCAGCGTGGACGGCCGCCTCTCGGGCTGCGGGCCGGCGCCTTCGTGCTTCTTTGCGGATCTGCATGCGAATATAAAAAAGCAAATTAAATAAAAATGAAAAAGAATTGAATTTGAATTGGCAGGTGCGTTTCTGCGGTGCCGCGGGGAGCTGGCGGGCCCCAAGGGGTGGTGTGAGAGTGGCGTGTCTGGGTGAGATCCGGCGTGCGGGGGGGATTTTTGCGGATTTTCGCGCAAAATGCGAACTATTTGGAATTAAATGTTAAATTTCGCAATATTTGCAAGATTTTGAGGGCAAAGCTGCAGACAGAGGTGCTAGCCAGCCCCCGCGACGTGCTAGCCGCGTGCTGCGGCGATCACCCCCCGTCGGGTGTCGCAGTGCGCGGGCTGTTGGGGTGTCTGCGCAGCTCGGCGTGCTGCGCACAACTCATCATTCTGCGTGTGTCATTTATGAATGCGTAATAAAAAGGAGTTGAAAATGGTTTCCAAAAAGCCGGCGAAGTCCGCGAAGCCCGCGAGCGGGAAGGGGAAGGGGAAGGGGAAGAAGCGGAGAGCTGAGACCTACAGCTCGTACATCTTCAAGGTGCTGAAGCAGGTGCACCCCGAAACCGGCATCAGCAAGAAGTCCATGATGATCATGACCTCTTTAATTGGCGATACTTTCGATAAAATTGCTTCGGAAGCTGGAAAGCTGTGCAAATACAACAAAAAAGATACGCTTTCCTCCCGCGAGATCCAGACGGCCGTCCGCCTGGTGCTTCCCGGCGAACTCGCCAAGCACGCCGTTTCCGAGGGCACCAAGGCTGTCACCAAGTACACCGGCAAGTAGTTCAATCATTTCCAAAAATAATCAAATTCAATTCATATTTCACACTCGAGGGTGATGGTTTTGCATCGGGGCGCCTCAGCCCAAATCTCGCGTTCTTTAGGCTTCACTAGAAGCCACCCATCCTCCCAGGTGTACGTACACCTCGGCTGTACCTACACCCGGCGCGCCCGCAGGCTGTACAGACACCGCAGCCGCCGCCGCGATTTTTTCGTATTTGCTGCAGCAGCAGCAGCGGAGGCCACCCCCTTTCTTGCTGCTGCTGCTGCTGCATGCAGCACCCCCGTTCTTTCATGTGCAGCAGCTAAAGGGTTTTGCTGCCATTTTCGGGGGCGGCGCTGTCCGTGTCAGTGCTGCTGCTGGGCCGTGGCCAAGCAGAGAAAACTTGCTGCTGCAGTTTGCTGCTGCAGCAGTGCAGCTGCTGCTGCGAACTGATGCTGCTGCCATTGCTAAGCGCTGTTTTCCAAAAGAGCTGCCGTCCACTGTTGCATCTGCTGCTGCCGAGAGTTTTGTAGCGCTGCTGCTGCTGCTGCTGCTGCAGCTACTGCGGGTATTGCTAGGGAGCTGTAGCTGCTAAGGAGCCGTAGTATTTAGATTTGCTGCTGCAGTAGTGACCGCTGGTGCTGCAGTAGGTGACCACTGCTGCTGCAGTAGGTGACTGCTGCTGCTGCAGTTCGAGCTGCTGCAGCAGCGCTGCTTCCTCTGCAGGTGAGCGCCTTCTTGCTGCTACTAGCGGCGCGGTGTACGTACACCGCAGACTTAGCACTCGAGGTGTACGCGCAGCAGGGCCGCGAGCAACTGCGGCGCCGCAGCCCGCAGCAGCAGCAGCAGCGCAGCAGCAGCAGCAGCAGCAGCGCAGCAGCAGCAGCAGCAGCAGCGCAGCAGCAGCAGCAGCAGCAGGGGTTTCAAATGATACTTAGGTGACGAAGTTTCCGGAACCGGAAGAAAGCTAAATGCGCCAGGCTTGGGGCCGGCAGCAAGAGTCTTCTGTTAGAAAAGGCATGCATGCAGGTGCATCTGTACTGGCGGCGTGCGCAGGTGGATTCAGATTTCCAAGTGGAAGCGCGCAACAATTTGGCATATTTGGCAGTCACTAGTCGTTTATTTGCAGAATAAACTTTAATAAACAGTACATAATAATGTGCAGAAGTGCACATACACACAAACTTGCACAGAGGCCTCCCGCCGCCGCGGGGTGTACGTACACCCCGGTGCGCGTACACCCCGTGCACGCACACCGGGTGTACGTACACCCCGCGGCCGCGAGCTTCCTTCCTCGGCGCAGGCTCACAATTCACAATTCAGTCAGCACCATTCAGAACAACAGAAGTAATAAATAGCTAGCAGTCGAGTAAACTATTCCCGCGGCGCCGGCTCAGGCCTTCACCGCCTCCGGCTGCTGCTGCTGCTGCTGCTGCTGCTGCGGCTGCTGCTGCTGCGGCTCGCCCGCCGCGGCGGCGTCCTGCGGGCTGCCGCTGCTGCTGCTGCCTCTCTCCTTTTCCTTCTCCATTATCGAGTTGAACTCCTTCGTCTTTCTGCAAACAATTGTTATTTTCGGAACATACTTCCGACGCGCAGAAGCAAAATAAGCTGTTTCCACTTTTTCAATAGTCACGCAGCCCTCCTCCTGCAGCAGCGCGGCGGTGCCAATCGCCACCTTCGTCGCCATCCCCAGCCCTGCCCGCAAACCCTAAACCCTAAACCCTAAACCCTAAACCCTCGCCGCGGGCACGCCCGCCTTCGCCGCGCGCGCGCAACGCCCTTTCTCCACTTTAAACGCCACTAAAGTCCCTCCAACTTAACAGCTGCTGTTAGGCAGAAAGAAGCAAGCAGCACACGCATGCGCAGAGCAGCAGCAGCAAAAAGACCCCGCCCAGCAGCAGCAGCTGCTGCTGCAGCAGCTGCTGCTGCTGCTGCCCTGCAGTGTACGTACACCCCAGCCCCCCGCTTGCCTGAAACCGAAAACTCGTCAAATGCCTCTTTGCCTTCTCTCCCCATCAAAACGCGTTTGGCAATTCGGGAATAGAGACGCGGCGTGCGCTCCAGCGAGACCTGCGCGCAGCAGCAGCAGCAGCAGCAGCTGCAGCAGCTGCAGCAGCAGCAGCAGCAGCAGACGCGCGCCCAGCGGCTGCGCGCGCCGCGGCGCACTGCGCGCCCC